ATACCTTGCACATTTTGTAAACTTGTTAATAAAACTTGCAAAAGAAACTACTGTATATCAGATAAAACTAAAGCACTCCGAAAAGTATTTGACGCAAAAATAAACCTACTCAATACAATTGAAGAAGCAAAAACAATCTTCAATGCTCTAAATATACAACATACCTTTGATAAACTTTACAAAGTACTTGACGAAATGCAAGATACTTCTGAAGAAGAAAGTGAATGTCACCAAGACGACCACGATATAAAAGATATATAGGAGAACCATACACTATGCAAGCTTGTATAAACTGTCAAAGATTACACATCAAGTATATACGACCCAATCCAAACGAAAACTGTGAAGACTGTGCATCGCAAAGTAAACAGTGCACTTTTGGAGTACCAAAGAAAAGAGGACCTAAACCTGGATATAAACTAGATCCAACATACATAGAAAATAATCAAAAGAAAATTGAAAAGTTAATTCGAGAAAAAGAAATTCAACACAAAAATAAACCAAATTACCTGTTTGAAGAATATCTCAACGAAGTAGTTGAAACCAAACAACAATATTTATTTGAAGAATATCTTTATTTATTAAAACAAAAGAACCAAGCTTTATGAAATGATCGGATATAATCTACAATTATACCAAGATACCTATTCAATTAAAATTCATACAACAAGTAATTATTGAAACAATTACAGTACACGTTGAACAAAATGATCTCGAAAGAGTAATTGACGAAAGAAATATTAGTCAAATTATCTTCCTAACAAGAGAAGGAATATCACTCTATTGTTTATACGAAATAGAAAATCACCCTACCATCAACAAAACTCTTGAACAAATATCACATTGCAAAAGATATCACGAACTATTCCAAGTAATAACTGAACTCCAAGAATATCAAATACAACCAACAGATAATTTAACAGTTGAAGAACAAGAATCACAATCACAAGAAATTGTATCACGATATAACCAAAATAAGAATACCTATATTCAAGAAAGAAAACAACTTCGAGAATTAAATGCACATACTACTTCAATATAAAAATATAATTACAACCCTCAAAAAAAAGATAACCATACCAGAAAAATTGCGAACACAACTTGATACTAATATAATCAAGTTACACAAACAAGGACTAGCATTTATATACTGAAAACTCAACTTAAAAGAATACAATCACTCAAACCTTGAACAAATATATGAATACCTAATCAACAAAAATAGTTATATATCAGAATACTTACAAATATCATTTTTAAAAAACCTCCAACAAATAGATCTACAACTCAAGGAAGAATATTTATTCCTCGAAAATTTTGAAAAACTAAAGAAAATTTTTAAAACGCAATATAATTTATTACAATCAAAATATCGAGGAGGAATATATTCTGAACCATTAACCAAAGAAGACCAACAACAGAAAACGTTACAACAAGAAACATTACAACAAATATTAAATAACCTCCCACGAACAAAATACCTTAATATAACAACACTATTAAAAGAACTAATTAACGTAGAATACTATAATCGAAAAGAAAAAATATTAGAAATAATTACTGAAATTAACAAAATACTTTTATGAACTACCAAACAAAACAAATAATTTGTGTAATATCACGAAATATAGCAAGCAAAATTCAACATAGATTCTCAAATCAAATAAGCTATATATACAACCTACAAACAAAAAAAGTAGAAACACGCTTAAATATTTTAATCCAATCGTCAACTTTTCAACTATCCACTTTTGGAAATAACAATTCAGCAGATCCAACAATACTAGTAGAATTAATACAAGAAATACAACATTTTATTAAACAACTACCAAAAGTAACAAAAGAATACGTCCAACAAAACGTTTTAACAAAA